GGTTCCGCTCGTCAGAGTTGAACGCAGAAGACGTAAGTTCGATTCCCGTGGAGGAGATTTTATATAGAGCTTCGCCCCCTGTCTGCTGGGACGTGGGATCCTTTTTAGCCAGAGTTGGTCCTAACGGGCAGGTCCGATGTAGTCCACCCTCTAAATGGTCTAGAATATGTTGATAGGGGCTTAAATCATCTACAGTTATCATACTCATTCATAGTATATATAGCAACCAGTTGGAAATCAGTTTTCCCCCAGATTTTACGTTTTCTTATCAGAGCGATTTAGAAAAAGAATGTTAAGCATAGTTTTCATATTTTGGTAATACTCAAATAAAATTAGTGGGCTTTTAAAAGTTTTTTTTTCTTATATCTAATTGGAAATATACTGTAGGTTTATTTTCATAATCATGATGATGACTCTGTTTGGGTGCCTTTCTGTACTAAAAAATAATTGTTATCGAGCTATTATCTCAAACGTAAGAGTAGAAAAAGGAAATTAAATAAGCTTTGGTTTCTTCTTTATCTTTAATACAATGTTTTGGGGAATCACAGGACATCAACATTTGTGTTTTATTTTTAAAAGACGACAAGTTGTGTCACATATAGATTTGAAATAATCTAACATTATAATGAACGCTTCGACATCTACATGGTAGATTAGAAGTATGAACACCTGAGAGATATTAAGTCAGTACAAAAACAATGCAAAACGACATGAACTCAAAAACGCTGTGTATATATTGTACATGTAAATACCCAACTAACCTTTCTCATTTCTCGCAGTGAAAAAGCTTATTTCTTAAAATACAAGCTTTAATTAAGACAACAAATTTCAATACTGAGCCCAAACTCAAATGAATAAGCAAGCTTTGAATACGTCGATATGAAAAATATCACTATGTACTGTTAAGTGCTTGCGTACGTCCATAAATACTGGAAATTACTTCAGTATAGGAGTCCTTTCGTTTGTCTCAGTGTCGTAACAGCCATGTGTCATGTCACTTTTCATCGTAGGTCTTCCGTCGAAACTCTTGTAGCTGTAGCTTGTATCACGGGCTTGTATCGACAAATTGCTGCCGACAGGTGTATCGGTGGAGACTGACTGTATCCCATTGTTGTCGTAACATAGGCTTGTATCGGAACTGGCCATTCCCCTCGTCTCTTTGAGCGTCAGGGCGAAAAGTGCAGTAACCAACGAAAAACAGCCAATTATACCATGTGACCTCATTGGGGATGATTGCTGAAAGGAAAAAAACAACCCACCTTGTTTAGACCGTATATCTAATATTTATGTAGTTATTTGTTCACTAAAGACAAGTATCCTGCCAGATAAGTTGCACAATCCTACTCCATTGTCCTACATTGTGTCAGATAGGTAATATGTGCACATTACAGACCTTCCTCATCGCAACCCACTGACAGTTTCTGACCGTGCTCTTTTGATCACCCGCTCGCAAATTCTGCATCCTCCATAACTCATATGATTATGTTGCTCAGACTTGGGCGTGCGCGTGGGCGCACACGACACACACACACACACACACACACACACACACACACACACACACACACTCACGCACTCACGCACACACAATATATAATATAGAATGTCTTTTACACTCAACCACTGGTTCGTAACATTGTTGCAATATACAAAGAACAAATAACAGCGGCGTTATCTCAGCCAGTTACAGATCACCATCTGAATAACAAGATGAAGTGAGAGAACTTACCAGGTCAATAACAAAGGGAGCGAGGATACCCCCAACACGAGAAAAACAGTAACACCAACCGAAACCCAGTGTCCTGAAATAGGGGGAAATAACACGGGTTATTGGGGAGCTTAGCTAGACGAACAGAAATGCAGACAATAAAAGAGAGACAGAGACAGAAACAAACAGACACTCACACACACACACACACACACACACACACACACACACACACACACACTCACGCACTCACGCACACACAATATATAATATAGAATGTCTTTTACACTCAACCACTGGTTCGTAACATTGTTGCAATATACAAAGAACAAATAACAGCGGCGTTATCTCAGCCAGTTACAGATCACCATCTGAATAACAAGATGAAGTGAGAGAACTTACCAGGTCAATAACAAAGGGAGCGAGGATACCCCCAACACGAGAAAAACAGTAACACCAACCGAAACCCAGTGTCCTGAAATAGGGGGAAATAACACGGGTTATTGGGGAGCTTAGCTAGACGAACAGAAATGCAGACAATAAAAGAGAGACAGAGACAGAAACAAACAGACACTCACACACACACACACACACACACACACACACACACACACACACACACAC